CTAACACCCCAACGCACTCTACCACCCCAACGCACTCTAACACCCCAACACACTCTACCACCCCAACATGCTCTAACACCCCAACACACTCTGCCAGTGCAGCACACTCTACCACACTAAGTCACCCAACACACTCTGCCAAACCAGAATACTCTTCCATCCCAAGTTACTCTGTCTTCACAGCTCAATCCACTGACCCCACTTTCATCAAACTCTCTTCTAACTTCTCACTTCCTCAACTTTTCTACAATGTTGCAAACTTTGGAGCTCTGAAGTTCCCCTCTGTCCAAACTTCAACCTCCCTCCACCACCAGTCCTCATGCTCTTCTGTGAAGAAGAGTGTTCCTCACCAAAACTCAGCTTTTCTCTACAAGTCTCACCCACCTTCCCTACCCAGCTAATAACCTCCTCAGTCCTTCGCTCCCTTCCATCTCCTCTATTAGTCTTCAAACTTCTTCTCTTCTCTGTAGCATGCAACACTGCCCAGGCTTCTCTCTTCCCATCTCTTCTCCCAACGAATATAGGTATTTTTAAAAATATAATAACGGGGATCCCGGGAAAGTAACCGAAGTGGTCTCTGGTAGAAAACAATGAAACAATGAAGATAGTGAGATTGCATGGGCCCTCCAGCTGCTCCTCTCTAATGTCTGTGAGCCCCTCCCACTAGGAACTAATTGCAGTAAATGAGAAATTATTGGAGCAGTACTGATGGTTGAATGGAACACCTAGCCATACACCATGGACTTCAGTTGTCACACAGGGGACTCGGACCACTGTCACTTTGCATGAGGATGTCTAATGGGCACTAGTGGTGACAGATGGACTGGATGCTCCAGCTGTAAAATTAAAACTTTATGGGTACTAGAGCCAGTGCTGTATCTTCCCTGCTCTTTGCATAGTAAAGGTCATATATATTTAGGAATGGAACAAATTATCACTGTGGAGATTAGGGATAGATTGGGGATATGTTTTAACTAAGGTCTTGGTTATCCCATTATAATGTATTACCCCTCACATCGTATATAGGAATTGGGGGACCATGAAGAAATATATGCCTCAACATAAGTCGGGGATAATGTGAGATGGAGGCAACAACCCAGCCATTCAGATTTAAATGTTTTTATTCTGTTACAAAAGGATTGAATGAATGGGTGGCATTAAATTGAAGGTATATTTATATAGTGAGTTATTTCACTCTGGGCTAATTTGGAAAATATTAAAGAATTAATTAGTTGGCCCCGGCTAGGGTTTCTTTCCTGCAGCCCTAATTAAAGATTAATTATGTTCTGATGGAAATTGAGTCACTTTTTTCAAATAATAAACATTTTTGACAATTATCATCTACATTAAAGATTCCAGATTGTCTAAAATTAGGGGCAAAATTTCGGAGCCATCAGTTCAGTTAGTGATATTTATTAAGAACTTGGCTATTCCGTTAAATTGAAAGTTCATTTGAGAAGGGCTCCCACCACCACCTCTTGTTTCTGCCAAGTCAAAAGTGTATGACTTGTCCACTCATCGAAACAGATCAGACTATGATAATTCCTTATCTTTAATAACATCCCGATTATTGTTTTTTTATTATTGTAATTACAATGTACTACTATTATTTTATACATTTTGCAAGTTAATTAAAAAAAAATATATTATATCTTGAATTTATAACTCAATAGTGCAAATTGGTTTTGTTTTTTGGTTTTTCTTAATTTATATTTTTCTGTTATTTTATTTTTTTGGTGGGGGGGAGTTGTTGTTGTTTTATTTTGTTTTATTATTTTTTTTATTTTATTTTTTTTACCTAAATGTGAATACGTAATGAACATATTAGACAGTCAGATTTTGTTTTTTGAAGGCACAATGTGTTTGTTACCACTGTGCATTCATAATATGATTTTCCTTTAACATTACCATGGTAATGTGTAAAAGTATATTATATATATTTTTTTAATTGGAACTGTTTTAAAATATTTGGCGATGTGTTCTAGGCTATACCAGTGACAAAAAAGTCTACTGTTTAACTCTTTAATTGCCAAAGCTGTAGCCAACACATTACAAAAACCCTCAAATAGTTAAATAATTGATGTAAAAAAAAGTTGGTGAATATTCTCCTTCTCACCTTGTCTTTTAACACTTCAATAAAATGTGGAAATCACACAGGAGACATAAAAAAAAATACTTTCTGTGCTTTTCATCTGAATACTGTGCCAGGATGTGGAGATAGGAAATCTCTCTATTTTAGTCTCTGCATTTCACGAAAAAAAAAAGCCTACATAATAAAAAGGTGATGATTTTCAGGAAGCAGAGTGTTGCAGCTGTATTACAATATATTCCATGGTCCTTATTCAGCACTTGGAGACTGCATTAAAATACATGATGGAGCCTCAGTCAATGTTTCACTGTACATTGTCTAAGGATTAACAGTTTGGCTATTTGCCTTTTTTATTGGTATTTTATGAACAAAATGTGGAGAGGGTATGCACTCAATAAATTTCTAATAGTAATCTCTGGGGGGCTGTAAAAGGAAACCTGGAGGGTTTATAGGTCATTGGTTGGTTAAATGGGGTCTGCTTTAACTGACTTCAACCTTTTACAGCCTTTCTAAGCAGCTATATATGTGAATTAAGATATTTTCTTGTGACTGGGATATAGGAGGAAGCTGACCTGTTAAAATCACAAAAAGCACTATAATTTCCTTAAAAACAAAGGAAATGCAGACTTATATCACAATCCAATTTTTACCCATTCTCTGTTCCATTCAATGGTAATTCTATCCCCCCAAACTGACACTAAATAAGAATATAAAGTTATATAATTTCTTGCCAATGATGTATAAAATCACACCTTTGAACCAATTTTAATATTGAGCTGTTTAATGAGAGAGAGACCCTAATAAATGCCTATATACAAATCAGGTCTGAAAAAGAATCTAAGTTTGTTTTGCAATACATTCTCAGTGAAACAGGACAAATAAATAATTATAAACACTCGTGTTACTTTGTTACACAATTGTGCTGAATCCAGGGATCAACACTGCAAGTGCTTATCAATACACAATTAATACTTCCTTTTGTGACTACACAAAGATATTTTGTATTCTAAAGAGTTCCCTGTTTGCTATACATTTTGTGTTAATTCTCTATAGCTAGGCCTTTCACTTGCACAATTAAATGCTAATTGTAATTGATTAGCACTTCTCTGAGGTTAAAAAAGGTCTTGTTTTCAACATGTGTCTACAGTAGAAAGGGGGTGATTTATTTAAATTCCTTCACCAGAAATTTTAGGTAGATCAAAAGGCAAAAACAAGCAAACATTGGGATATCAGACAGTATCGTTAAAAAAACAGTAATAAAATTTAATCCTCAGCATTAAGCCAATTGTTACAATGATGAAGTCTGCTTACTATCTACTTAATTACCCCTTAGTGTTTGAAATGGAGAGTTCATCTTAATTTATGACAGAGATAACCATGATCTATTTGTAGCCATCAAGTGTTCTTGCATAGTGCACTGCTCTAAATGTGTTTGTTTTTCTTTAATTCATTGCATGTATTGTGGTGTACAAACAAACATTTGGTGTAGACAGGGTGGATCATTGTAAAATCAATGACCCATTCAAAGAAGTGTAAACAAAGCCCTTTTGTATTGACTGTTGGTCAAATATTTGTGTCACTGCAGTGCAACTTGGGGTTGGGTTTTAAACAATGTGTAGTTTAGTGTCCTAAAGGCAATGCTCTCCTATCAAGTAGGTATTTCAGTTATTGGTTTGAGTTTTAAGAAAGATTTTAGATTTGGGGCAAACTAACCAAGTTGTTAAAAAAAATAAAAAAATCCCAAAGTCTGCCAAATCAAAATTGAATTTTCCAAAGAGTAGACTGGTTTTATTCACTTAAATGTTAGGTGTCTGGGATTCAAAGCAAATTCAAAGTGAAAATGTTATTTTATTTTGGCCCGAAATTTTCAATTCATCTGAGCTGGGAGGTTTCTTAGACAATCTCCTGGCTAACATATTGCCAAGCATTTTGTACTCATTATAACGGAAAGTAGTAAATTAGTAACTAATAATTCCGTAAATAGAACCTCCCCCGTCTTCACAGATACACTAAACGCAGATTCTCCAAATAGACTCACTACAAACAAAAGGACCATGAAATTATTTATTTATTTATTTATTTGGAATTGTTAATAATTTTGTGTCAATAGCAGTCAATAAAACTACATATTCCTATGTTTTATTTATTCTGTTCAATAATTTGATTACAGAGAGAGCTGCAAAGCCCAATACTGACAAATTTAGTGGGCGAGACAGCTCACTTGCTTAGGGTAATGGGATTTACAGTCCAAATGCAGTTTATTCCAGAATGCTAAATAACATGTTAGCTTCGCATATATAATAATCACATGGTAGATATAGATATTCCTAGATAATATAATAATTAGCTATTACTGGGGAAGAGAAATAAAAGATAGGGTTGTGTATGTTTGTGTGTGTGTCTGTGTCTGTTTTTATCCTTGTCCTTTGAAAGTTTCACTAGCACAGAATAAACACATCTGATGTAAGGCAGCTGCTCTCTGGAATCAAAGGGTGTCTAATCAACATTTCCTTAAATGAAATGCAACTGATAAAAAATAATCTGCCCACAATAGTGCTTGTAGTGGGGACAGCTGACAGAGCGATTTCCTGTACTCTCCCCAGGCAGTGTGAAGAGGATCCGTTTGTCTGGATTTTTTTTCATTTGTTTTTCACACTTTCTACAGTCCCTAATATCTGTTCCTACAGGAGAAAGAGAATATTAGACTTCCCCCAGCATGCTTAGCGTTTAACCCTTTCATTACCAGAGGATTACCTGCTCCTCATGAGTAATTATTCTTATGTCCCATGCTTGATATAGTTTATATTCTTTCTTTAATATACACATTTTTTTTTTCAGTTCAGATATTTGGAGGCCAACAGTTTTTTGTTTTTTTTTAATATTTTTATTATTATTATTATTTTAAAATCCAGTGATAAATGGCATTTATCCATTATCAGCGTAAAGTGCCATACACTCATATTTTACAAAATAGTTTTTTTTTTATTTATTTAATTTTTTTTTTGGAATGTTAGCTGCGTAAAAAAAAAAACAATAATAAATAAAAACAATAAACAGAAGATAATGCATTTCAACTTTTTTTTGTTGTTGTTGAAAGGTGTAAAAAAAAAATCTACAGGTCTCGTTATAAGAAAACATGCAAAACAGCATTTTTACACACTGTGAATGGAAATTCCTTGAATTAAATGCAAATAATATATTCTACAACAAAAATTTGCAACTACTTGTGACTTGTTCATACTGACATTGTAAGTATGAATATCTGTGACATACAATCTATCTGCTCAGTGTTTTGTAGGACAAGAAGCCTGGACAGCACAAACGCAGGGCCGATAAGCAATCACTCCCACGACGCCCAGCCAGCCAAGAGCACCCCGTGCTGCATTTGCATTGCACAGCATGGTAGGAGTGTCAGCTCACATCAACATGGCTGCCGTGTAGTCAATGCATGCCTTGTATTTGTATTACAACAAAACTGTGACATTAAGAAAAAATATTGACAGTGCATACCTCACTAAAGCGACCAGAATAAAATAAGAAAAGAAAATTTTTTTAAAAAATAATAATTAAAAAAAATAAAAAATCAGTCTGTTGATAACAGTTTAATTTATTTGTTTTGTTTCAGTCCACAAGGGTGAATGTCATATTTCTTCAATATTAAAAACAGAACAGAGACATATATAATATTATATATACACACACACACACATATAAATATATATATTCATATATCCATATGTATGTATATATCACTTTGAAAGCAGTAAGCTTTCCCAAAAGTATGAGAGCGCCACCTATCGGTGTAAAGTTTAGCAGAGCCAACACTCGATCTGTATTTTTTAAAATCCGGATTAGATGGTGTTCCAATGAAAGCAAGGTATATCCAAAGTCTCCCTGGTTCTGGGAACATTCTTCTGTTAGAATACAGTCTTTTTACTATTTCTGTGTAATAGAAATGATTTAAATAGTTTTATATATCCGGATCTTTTCCTGCAGTGGATTTTCAGCATTTGATTTTTGAAGGTTTCAGCTCTTTTGCCTGGCTGTGAAGAGTCTTATGGACAGCTAATGTCCTTGACTGACAAAATCCCTTGCCACACTCCTGACATTTGAAGGGTTTCTCTTTGGAATGAATGTACCTGGAATACAGAAACAAGAGGGTTAACAGAAATACCTGCTACTGTCCCCTGATGGGTCATTTGGGTGGTCTGCACGTGTGTGTGTGTGTGTGTGTGTGTGTGTGTGTGTGTGTGTGTGTGTGTGTGTGTGTGTGTGTGTGTGTGTGTGTGTGTGTGTGTGTGTGTGTGTGTGTGTGTGTGTGTGTGTGTGTGTGTGTGTGTGTGTGCGTGCGTGCGTGCGTGCGTGCGTGTGTGTGTTTCTTAATTATTATTTTTTTAATATTAATGATGAAAATATTTATTAACTCCTACATATTGCAAATTGATTCTCCAGTCACAAGTTGCTGTTTAATGAATATCAGCCTTAAATATCTGAGACCATTGAGAATTAACTCACAAAATGCAGACAGATCAGTGAATAAACCCTCTCTTCTCTAAATACTACGGTTTTTTTTCACTAAAGTGAAAGTGACTTTGAAAGACAAGGCTGAATTAGTCGAACTGAACACATGATTGAATTGGGGATGTTTTGTAAATCGGCTATATTTGCCTGAATTTGGAAATTCACGTTTAATTCACATTGAAACACTGTGAATTCTGCCTATCCTTAGTAATGAAACAGGTGCCTGTGCTGCTATAAATGAGAATTCTAGATGATATTACATGAATGGTTAATTATATATTTCCTACCTGTTCTATGTTAAATTTTGTATATGTTGTGTATTAATATTGTTTTTGTATTTTATTGTACCCTATTGTATCAATGCAATATTTTGTGGACCCAGGACATACTTGAAAACGAGAGAAATCTCAATGTATCTATCCTGGTAACATATTTTATAAATAAATAAATATAAATAAATACCTGTGGTCCCTCAGATGGTCTTGTCTTCTGAATGCTTTGTGACATATGTCACATGTGTATGGCCTTTCATCTGTGTGAGTTCTCTCGTGGATCAAAAGATTGTAAGACTTGGTGAAGTGTCTGCCACAGAATTTACAGACAAATTCCTTCTTGGTTTTAGAAGGCAATCGTCCCCTTGTGGGTTTCTTCTCTGGAGCAAGTTTGGTGACATCCAGAAGTGCCCCCATGGCTGAAGGTGACCCTTGAACATCCACTTGGGTGATTTTGCAGTGGTCTTCCTGTGTGGCAGCCACAGCAAGGTTGGCAAAGTCAAACCTGGGTTTTGTTTTAAGAGGCTGGCCTGAGGAACTGTGTTTGGGGTGGACCACATGGGGCAAGAGAGGGAAGGCAGCTGGGAGCTGGAATCTGGTGTCTATCAAATTGGAGACTCCTGGCACTTTAGAGAAGGATGACCTGGGCAGGTGAATGGTGGGGTATCCCAGTGTCCATTGGTGAAGGTGCACAGCGTGGAGGGCACTGAACCCATAGAGATTTGGGATGTGGTCTGCTGGCATAGGGAGCCCATTGAATGCTTGAAGAAAGGAATAGTTTGTGAGCTGCAGAGACGGGTGGATTGGGACAGGGGCAGGAAGAGTCTTGCTGGCCATGGTGGGACCTTCACGTTTTAAAGAGTCCACTCTCTCTCTCCTAAAAAAAAAAAAAAACAACAAAAACCACAAATGGTGAAAAACATGCCAAACACTTAGTATCAATAAATACAAAATAATTACACTTTATTCTGATCTGATAGGAAATCATACTTCACAAGCAATTATTCTTATGGAAAGAGCTGTTTGTAGCATTATATACATCATAATATATATAAAATGAAATGATTGGAGAAAAAATGTATATAGCTGCTTAATTATTTAACACGATTGGTATCTTGTCCTGATCAGGTGTTTCCTATTAGAGAAATGTGTGCTTATTGAATTGTCAGGCTAATAACTGTAAATGATAGCATTGTGCTCATTTTAACATTAAATTGTTTGCAATTTTGTCTTTAACTATTTCGTTTCCTTCACTAATCCGAGAATTGTCGGGAAGCCGGCAGGGAATTACAAATATTTCGCTAAAATAGCACAGTTATGTTTTTACAATAGGATCCAAGATTAAAAAAAAAACAACAACCGGTTTGTTTCTAGGGGCCTTATAATATTAATCTGGTTTACACGATGGCACTTCAAGGGTTAAACTGTCAGAGTTTTAGAAAGGCAGAACTAGGTTTAAATGTAAGGACTGGGGCTGATATTGTGAATCTAAATTAGATTTCCTTTCTCGATGAAGAGGTATGTAACTCGTCGACATTTAAAAAAAAATAAAAACAAATGGCCAAACTGATGGGGATACTGTTCGAATATACTGACAGACAGTGAACATCAGATTCCTGGTTGGAATTACCCAAACAGGTTTATTTACTGAACTGCGAATTCTTATGAATTCAAGACCAAATGCTATTTTTAGGCCAAAGTAGTCAAATTAACCATGGTTTTATTATAATTATTTGGGGCAAAATTTTAAGTTCACTTAGAATTCGTGACAATTCGCGATTCTATAAATAGCCCTGTATCTCTCTTACTATGAGGATACGGTTAAAGTTAGAATATGGGCACAGAAAGAGTTAATGTTAAGCACAGCGAATGCAAAATCGGTAAGAACGAATACAGTGAAATAAAATGAGCCGAACCTCATACAGGTATAGACTCAGTAATGTATACATTCTAAGCTCCTCCAGAAAATATATTGTAGCAATATTACAGCTCTCTCTCTCTCTCCCAAATACAAAATGTATTACTTTGTAATGACTTGAAAACAGAATTGCAATTGGGCCAAGGTATCACCACATGAAAAAAAAAATATGAATGGACTTAACTGGATTTAATTTAACAATATCATTAAGTAAATAGACCCTGAATTATCCTAAGCAGTTGTTAATTAATTTATCCCATTGTCGCAGTGAAAGTCTAGCAGACATACAAATAATATACAGAGAGAGGATAATTCACAATACAGGACATGCGCTACAAAACGAATTAACTGTAATAGTTAAAGTGTCCCCTATACAAATTGAGTTAAGGTCAATTTGGCAAATTACTAAGAAAGAGTAATGTTAAAGCATGTTCACTATTACATACATAAATATTAGAGGATTAAATTCATTTAGACATTTTAAATACAAACACTTTGGATCAAAAAATAATGGCTGAAGAGCAATAATTTCCAATTATTCTTCAATGAATACAAAGCTATACCATTTTTATTTTTATTTTTTTACAATTTAACTCATACTTAGCCCATGGTAAGGAGGGGAAAAGAAAAAGCATTAAAACCGGCATTGAAAGTGTTACTTGTCATAGTATATGTCAACTCATTCCTCTTGGGTACTCATGGGGCTAAACCATACCTGTTCTTTACGTTAAAATATTTCTTGGATCAAATATGCAACACATGATGAAAATATTGCATTCATTCGTTTATTTTTACGTGATATAATTCGTGCATTATTTACGAATCATATAATATATAAAACGGTTAAATATTTAAATCACATGTTTTCGATGTGTTAAAAAAAATAAATAAAATAAACTCAAACTATCGGAATAAATGTACAGTCTCCTGTAAAAATCATTGAACATATCCTTTTTAAAAAATTAAATATGCATTTTGTGTGTAATAACCCAATAGGGGTTCTATTATAAATTACATTTTTGCTTAAATAAAAAAATAAAAAAAATTAATTAAAAAAAAAAAATGTTTTTGCATGGTTTCAAGTATTGATATCTCACTATGGAGATCTGCTCACAGCTCTTTAGTTCACTGATAATATATCTTCTGTAGTGATCGCTTTAACCCTTTATGCGCTGGAGTTCCATGACCTTCAAATTCATTACACTCAGACAGGGCAAGATTCTTAAAGGGGCAATAAACCTTTAAAAGGGCAATAACAACAAATCTCCACACCTCTGTATTGGATCACCTTCTGCCTCTATTCTCTCATATAAACAGATGTGTCTCTACCTTCAAAAAGATTCGAGGTAAGTCATCCTCGCCCCACAGCAATAAAAAGTCCACTTTTTTTAAACACAGGACTTCGTTGCTGAGTAATTGAGAACAGACCACTTCAGCACTGACATTAGATCGAAACAAAAACCTCTCTGCCAGGATAAATTTACCCTGGAAAATGGGGTCATAAACTTGAAAGACTACATCTGTCCTAAGCTTTCATTCCCTTTATAAGGTTTTGTAAACTTGCTAATATAAATGGTCCTTTGCCATTGTTTTAAACAATCTGAAAGATAAGCCTCCCTCCCTTTTCCAACAGATAACTCTGTTAATTGCTGGAGTTACAAGGATGTGGATTGGAGATTTAAATTTGACTGTGGGATAGTGTCAGCTTAATTCTCTGTGGTCAGTATAAATATAAACACACACAAAGTATGCATTACAGTTGTATATTATTGTTATATATGACACAATGTAACTACTGCAGATTGGTTGGAGCATTAATAAATACAATACATGCAACAGACAATTTTATATATTCTTCCAGGGAATCATATCTCTTGCAAAGTTACTTAAAACAAACAAAAAAACAACAAAAAGAACTCAAGTTATATAGGGGGTTGTGTGACATTGGAAGAGCTAATTATTATTCTGCAATTAGTCAGCACCCCAATTTTATCCAGGTCCCCTAACTGTTAAACAGATACACAAACATGTATAGTGACACATTTTATACAAATAGTGTACAAGTCAGTTATATCACAAAGTTAAATTCTAACAACAAATACATACTGTTAGAAAATGTTGTTATATATTATTATTATTTTGTTGCCCTTATTAGTAATCACTACATTTTAGCTATGGGTTCTATTTACAATTATGGTCTTAAAAATGTGCTAGCTGTCTTTTACGATAAAATAGCAGAAACGGTACAAAAAATATATGATGGGAAGTTTTTTCCCCAAAAATCTGGTATTTTGGCCTACATTATACAGGCAAATAAACGTTTCATAGACTTCTAAAGCTGTAAATATAGGAGTGAGGGCAGCTCACTAAACAGTAAGCTGTAGTGATATCATAAATGACTTGTAAACATGTGGTTATAGATGTTTTTTTCCCTCATTTTGGTATTAAATTTCCAAATTGATTCTCTACTCACCATAACAACAACGTTGGTGAATAAAGTATGTATTGCTGTTAGACAAAGGGATCTGTTCAAATTAAAAAAGCGGTATTTGCCAAATTCATAATTGTGAATTGAAAACTGAATTGCAATATTTAGGGTGAAAAAAACAGATTTGGAGAATCTTGCCCAGTTTAGCAACTCTAAGTCGGTAATAAAGGTTTCACAGATCACTGTTTAGTGATTGACCAAAAAATATATAATGCAAAATCTATTCAAATAAACAGAACTTGTGGGTTATTTACTGAAAAATGAATTGTGGAGAATATAAAAACGAATTGCAAAATGTAGGCTTAAACAGACAAGACTGTGACTATAGCTGGATGGTGGATTTTTTCAAATCAAGAATATCAACCTAAATTCTGCATTCGGTCCCAAAATTCCCTGTTTGTTTAATAAAATCCTCATTACTCATGCACTATCTCAGCTGGAATAATATATTAGTTTTAATTGATAATCTGTAACTACCAAACTTATAACACTGTGTTTGTGGCCCAAGTGTGACGTTTTACAGCAATGCATTCATTATTTTTATTATAATTATTATTATTATGATTTTGAGTTGTTTCACAAACATCTGTTTTATTGACGACTACTAATAATATTATCATTAATAATAATAATAAGTGTATATTGTTATAAGCATAGCATTTAACAGTTCAAAAAAATCGACCACAAGATTAGGTTACTCAATATATTCGGGAAATAACATGAATCCTTCATACAAAATCTGGTATAACATGCATCTCCTGCAATATTAAGTCAGATTTAAATTAATCTTAACAAGAAAACACTGTGACGTCACGCCTCACTGTATCACAGTGACTTCAAATGTAAACTGACTGCCCTCAGACACTGTAACCGTTTCACCCAAAGGGTTAAAAAGTCACCATAACTCCAGGTTTTAACCTCCTGACCCATTTACTAAACAGACAAGTCATTTTCAAAGTGTGACACATGGCTCCCAGGATGCTGATGGATATTAGTAGTTTATCCAATGGTCTTTGACATTTCACCCCCATTAATAAACAAACATTTAAATCCCCCCAGTATGTATTTTTATAAGTCACTGCACTCCCCTCATGCACCTGTCCATGGCAAAGCTGGGCTTACTACCCACACAGCTGACATTCATTTTACTTTAAATGCAGCATCACATGGCTTGAAACACTTTATTATAACACAGCAAGATATGAAAAGGTATATAGATAAATTACACATCACACATGCTATATACAGTCCCCCCCATTATATACCAGTGAGCCCTGTATAACAGAAGCTGGAGCTCTGTGCACTGGAAGCCACTTAGGAAGCTGTTACTTATAAAATGTATTGTACTCTTCTTATAGTTCCTGAAACATTATTAAACATCCTTCAAAGTTATCAAACCCATTGCACGCATATTAAACCCTTTTTAAACACACTTGTTAAACCTCCTGCAGTCTAAGCAAACATCTGGAACATTTTTCAAATGTACATCTCCCTGTTTTACCAATCCTCCACCCCCCCCCTCCCCTACACACACAATATACAGATTGTGAGGTACATCAGTCTTGCAAAATCTGCTAAAACAAACTTGGATCCAGTTGCACAGCCTTATCTCCTCTCCTCCATTGCTTCCAGTAATACTAAGCTATATACTAGAGAGTGACACAGTAACTGCAGCTTAGATACCTCTCAATGGCAGACCATGGGCTAATCACTGAATATGTAGCTACATGCACAAATGAAAGTTTCTGCACTGTGAGATCACCAAGATCAGACACACTGGTTAATAAACACATCACAGAGATGATGGTGTAATATTTACCTTGCTCAGGTAGGTTATCCAGAGATCTCAGAAGGTTGGGGATTTTTTAGTGAATGGGGTAAACACACATAGAGTTCCCTGTGTATGTATTTGTGTCCAGGGATTGGGTCATGCAGTCAGGCATGCTCTGATCATCTGCTGTGAGTGCTGCTCAGGGCTTGCTGTTCAATCCCAGTCTCTCAGGTCACCCACAGATTCATTCTCCAAGAGCAGTAGTTGCTGTGACTCCAAGAAGTGTGTCTCAAACTTAACTGAACTGAACTCCGAGTTGCCTCCTACTTATTTCAATCAGTCAACGCGCATGCGCAGGAGCTGAGCCCAGCCTGCCCCTTGCACACAGTGGATAGGAGTGGGTTAGCTCCCAGTACTGAGGTTTACTTACACTGGATTCCTCCTCTCCCTGCCCCAAAATACATCGCACACCCTCAGTGAGAAATCAGATCTGTGAGTGATCAGCAGTGGCAATCAATGTGCATTACTGGAGCTCTACATGTCTCAATATCAAACAGGGTCTGGGTGTAGACTGTGTATATTAGAGAGGAAAGGTCAAATGTAGGTTTATTTAGACCAGTTTGTGCACAGGGTATGTACTAACCATGCACGTGTAAAGAGCAACAGTGTGGAAACATTACTTTAAGTTGTACAGTAGCCAAGGAAACCAATAAAATATTATTTCTTTTAGAAATTTGCACCAAAATGACCAAATATTATGTTATTTCCAGTGTTAATAATCTGAATAATCTGCTCTAAATACATACATTGTTCAAAATAACCTGCATTATTAATATATACACAGATACGCACATACATACATACACACATACATACATATATACATATATATATATATATACACACACATACATACATACATACATATATATATATATATATATACATATATACATACATACATACATACATATATATACATATGTGTGTGTATGTAAGTGTGTGTATGTAAGTGTGTGTGTGTGTGTGTGTATCTCTGTATATAAATTGATATATATATATATATATATATAAACAATCTACAATATATTTATGCATATATACGTGTGTATCTATTTATGTATGTGATAATGCAATATCTATCTATCTATCTATCTATCTATCTATCTATCTATCTATACACACACATTTATTATCAGTGACTTTATGATAAAGTGTATGTAAAACCTACATTTAAAACCCTGTGATTTCAAAAACAAAATTTTTGAAAATGATTTCACTTGAGTACTTTACATACACACGTGAAATACAAAATGCACATAAAATGGTCAATTTAGGGAACGTAATAATTCAAACGTCTTCCTATTTATCTATGAATTTTGTTTTGTAACAAATGAAAATATGTTGACAAAACTATTTCCTATTCAGGTAATTCGTTGGCTTTGTTGCTGTGTGAATCAGTATACAGATAATGGACAGTTTTATACAAAAGATATGTCATACAGCATTTTACACCCAACACAAATATTTTAATCTGCATTCACCTGCTACTGACAAAGGCTGTGTGTGGCTAAATACATTATTTTATGGATTGACAATCATATATTTTTTTTTTTAACATAGGTGTCTATAGTTAATAGAAGCTCTGCTATGTTACCATCAATTTGCTAAAATAATGTCTGAGCTCTTACTGAGCCATTCATTTATTTTGATATTGATATATATGATATATAATAATAAATGCATGTCTTAGCAAACAATACTGTACTATTTTTTGAATGTCATTTTTAATGTAATAATATATATATTTATTAAATATATATATTTTAAATATTTGATATATAGTTAGAATGTAAATAATTAGACTGCATACATTTTTTTTTTTATTTTTTTTTATAGATTAACCCAACGGAAATCTTGTTTTAATGAACATTCCTCTTACTATGTTTCATTCCTTATTGTATCCATTTGATATATTTTGTATCTGTTCTGGTTAAAGATGAATCCCAGCTGTGAGTGTATCAATGTGTCCCCTCTGCACACACGGTGAAGGAAGCCATATATACTGCGTGACAACTTTCATTTGGTTTTCCACATCTGCAACTGATCCACTTCGTATTTCACTGTGAAATATGAGTTTGATGCTTACAGGACATAATTAGGAACGAAATGTTTGGAGTTTTGTGGGTCCCCGAGGCTCTGTGATAGTCTCAAGCCACTAACTCCACTTAGATCACTGGGATTCCCTGTGTACTCCAGTAACCTGACCCACGCGTGGAGAGCTGTGTGTTGTGATCACTGGTGTTATGTCAGAATCCCAATATTGTAATATAACACCCGGGATAAAAGGCCAATACACACTAGCTGTTGTATTTCCTGGAGGATCACAGAGACCCTCTTATCTTGCAGATTAGGGGCTGAAAGCGAAGTGTAATAGTGAACACATTGAGATTTTGGCAGAGTCCATGTACACAGGATGCACAGCCCACGGCCAGGGGACTGTCTGTGAGAAAACAAGGTGAGGACTAACAGCTACTGATCCACTAGCAAAGGGTCAGAACAGCTCCCACTGTTATATTGACCTGTATGGAATTAATAAATATACACTAACTGGGGCTACTAGGCACATTATACAGGATCAATGCAGGATAGTATGTATCTATCTATCTATCTATCTATCTATCTATCTATCTATCTATCTATCTATCTATCTATCTATCTATCTATCTATCTATCTATCTATCTATCCATCTGTCTCTCTCTATCCATCCATCCATCATTTATCTATCTATCTATCTATCTATCTATCTATCTTTCTATCTATTATCTATCTGTCTCTCTCTCTAACCATCCATCCATCATTATCTATCTATCTATCTATCTATCTATCTATTATCTATCTGTCTCTCTCTCTATCCATCCATCCATCCATCCATCCATTATCTATCTATCTATCAATCTATCTATCTATCTATCTATCTATGTATCTATTATCTATCTTTATCTTTCGTTTTCTTTCCCTATCTCATCCCTACCCTTTTCTATCCCCTTTTAAAATATTAAAGTTTTTGCAGAACAGATTCTGTATACCCAGAGCACTAACCAATGTATGGTCGGAATCCTTTCGAATATAAAGTGCAGGTAAAGAACCTACAGTGGGACATTTCAATTCTCTCCAGGTAAATAGCAATAGTTTATGGAAAGTCCCATATAGAGAATGACAATTCTAAACTGACTCTCACACGGTTACTTTGTGTTTGATAAGTAAAGTTGTTAAAGGCTTGAGCTGCTCTGACACATTGCAACATGCACTCAGTAAGACATGGGTATCTCTCCCTCAGTCTGTCATGTTTATTTAAAGGGTGTGCAGTCTAAATACAGGTGTATCTCAAGAACAAATGTGAATTGATCAAATGACTGACACATCAAGTCATTTGTCTGTGCTCATCCTGCTGTAATATTGTTATTTAAAAAGTCCTAAATTCCTTGGTATCTACAGAATGTCTTTGATGCTTTGACATTTTAAACAATATTTTTAATTATCATAAAACAGCACAAATACATTATTTGAACAGGAGTTTCTTTAAATCGATAATAATCTCCCAATTAATCTTGTTATTTACTAAAAAAAAAAATTTGCTGAGAGTCCCCCCTGGATTCTCTAATATTTAGGCCAAACTAGAATATTAGAAGAATTAACTCAGTTTTTATGGGTCCATTTTTAATGCTGGATGGAAAATAGTTTTTTAATGAATTAACATTTGCATTTTTTTTTTTTTAATTCTATTTGTTATGATAAAAGGCTGGTGGATGTTTGATTAAACCAGCTAGACCTGTTGTACCTCTTTAACCGACTAGTTTTAATAGAAATATTTTTATTTTACAACCCAGATCTGGTCACAACTTGTGCAAAATAAATTGCTCTTATTCAGGACAGGAAGTACAACCCAGGAGAGAAAACTGAAATATAATCAGGGAAAACTGATAAAGTAGATACACCTCAATAGATTATATATTCTAGAAGTTTAGCTTACAAACATAATAAAGGTTCTTCAAATGCACCAACAGACAAGGGAGCTGTGTAATACAGGAGATTAAATAATGTGCTTCTATTATTATAAAGCATGACTATAAAGCGCCACCTACTGGCCAGAAATTCTACCATTGGAAGTACGAGAAGGTAATTTCACTGTATTAATTATAATATATGCATTTATACCTATGTATTGCTTTTATTTCTGTTTAATTTATTATTAGACTTTGAGATTGTTCCCATCGTTTTAATTGGTAATGCATAATAAATTCACATGTTTATTTAGACATATAAAAACGTACAAAAAATATATATATTGATTAAATAGAGAATTGCAGTAAAGTGAAAATCGAATTTCAGAATTCAGGCCAAAATTCCTGTCTTGTTTCTGCAAAAGTTTAAAAAATACAGGTGTCAAATATGTAAATATGATTTATTATGTTAACTTTTTTTTATTTATTTATCAGCCGTGAATTATTAAATAGAACTTATAAAATAATAAATATTTTGTGTTTTTGAATTTTTAGTTTAGAACTATTGATTTATGTCCTGCATTTATAGGTCTTTCTTATTTATTTATATTTGTAGAATGTCAACGGATATATAGCACAAAACACACTCCCTTAATTATATTTATTATTTATTATTTTTTGCTTTGTTTAGGTTAAAATATTTACTTATATTTTTATGTCGTTTTATTTTTATTTTCTCGTTGTGCTATCGTATTTAAACCTTACTTAATAATCCAATTATTCGAAATTAAGTTTTGTTATGTTATGATTTAACATTTTAACGAAATATAACAATAGATATTACAAACATTCTGTGTATATTTTTTTTCATATAACTATAAACATTCTATATTCTGATAGTTGATACAATGCTTCGAGCGCATAACCATAGAATTAATTTACTACATTCATGAAATATGAGCTAAATAAATGTAAAAATATCAATCTGCTTAAAAATAGCAGATGCTTGTAAAATGTACTATTTTTGTATTGCTAACACGACAAATATGTAAAAATCAAACTAAAAGGGGCAAAGTGCACAGTTCGTTTGAATTATTTAGGTTTAAGCTGTGAATTCATTTATTGGTCTCGTTCTTAAAATATTCAGGGCTTCTGGAATATCTATGTTTCATTTTACAGAGAGATTTTGTCACGATAAATCCCCTCAGTGCCCCCAGCACTGGGTACTCTGAGAAGGTCACAGCCCAGATTACATGCAGTTTATTTAATTCTACGAAGGCGCTGGGCAATGAGGAATTAACCCTTTGAGCACCACAGAATTCGACACGATGTGGGCAAACCTTGTGACAAGAGACACTGGAAACTGTGAAATGAGTACGATACATATTGCAAAGGATCGATTC